TTCCAGTGAGTGAGGGGGGCCGGCCCACCCTCCCTTCTCCGGGCCGTCTCCTTAGCGGCCTGCCCGCTGCCAGCCCCCCACCGGGTTCGGCCGCCCTTTCGCGCCCTAGAGAGCCCGTCTTTCCCCTTCCAAAGCTCCCCGCTGGAGTTTGCCCCGGCGTAGTACGGGGGACCTCAGAAGGGCGTGTGGTGAGCCGTGTTTCCCTTCAGGCGTAGTTGTTGAGAAAGGTTTGCCTGCTTGGTGTGTGGGTAAATGTCAGTGAAGCATCGGTCCCTGTGTAGTGTCGAAAAACAGTTATTAGTTCAATGTATTTTGTGCGTGTGATTTGAACGCTTGCTCCTCGGGGAGCTTGATGCAATCTTCTTGAGATTAAGCATTATAGTTATAGGACATTGCGTTTTTCACTTTAGATCTAATTTAATACAGAGAGTTGCATGTAGTGCTGTGTGAGAGCTTAAGGTCTGGCTGTCTTTTAAGATTTCTGAGAACTTGGGCCCTATGATAATATGTTCTAAAATAACCTAAATCTTGTTTCTGTATTGTGGATTTTCTAAAGCCTGGACTTCTATATTTACTTGCTTTAACATGCTTCATTTTTGTTTACTTTAGTGGTAGAATAAGAGCTTTGGAGAGAAATAAGCTCACAAAGGAGACTCTGGAACTGGCACAGCAGTACTTCTTGCCCCCATATGCTTTCCAGATTCGAGTTGGTGCTCTGTACCTTTTGTACGGGCTCTATAATACTCAGCTTTGTCAGCCAAAACAAAAGGTAATTGTTCTTGAGTTTTTATTCTTAGGTGAGACTAGATGTAACATATGTGGTGTATCTCTGTCTACTTTGTCATCGTTGGGTAGACTGTTTACTCTTGCTTTCTTAAAGTATTTAGAACCAGATGTTCCCTTTGGAAAATGTAGCCTTTCAGACACCTTTGGGTTTAAGAACTTATGTGGTGATGACTAAAATATTGCTTATGCCTCCTAAATTGTAGCTGTGGTCTCAGAAATCTTATTTGTCAGATAGGAAGCTCATCTCTGTTCAAAAATGAAGACTGGCTTTCAAAATGGGAACAGACAATCATCGTGCTCTGCTCTCATCAGCTGTAGAGTGAACTCTATTGCAGCCCCAGTTATTCCTTAGAATTTCAACAGATTGAAGACTTGCTGAATTACTTCCAGTTCCTGTTAACCAGAAGTGAAATTCATAAGTAGGCTGAAAGGGTGAATGACTGAATGACATGGCTCCTTGCTGCTTTTAGGACAAGAGACCAGTATATAAAGGTGTTGGAAACTCAGTGCAAGGAGAAGTGGTTTACTTGGAAACTGTGTGATGTATGTTGTGTGCATATGCACATTTGACTCCAGATTCTTAAAAAAAAAAATGAAGTTTAAGTAGTCTGCAGTAATGCCATTAGGTCTCGTATCTTGACTTCAGGGAAGTCGGTACCTTTTATGGAGATGAATTTAGGCAGTTTTAAAACCACTGTTATATAGCAACTGTTGGAGAGCACAGGAGTTATCTGAGATGTTATCTGAGTTACCTAAGAAGCTAACTTAGATAGAGAGAAAATGAAGTGGGCATAGTAGATATGAGAGGAGAAAAAGCAAGAAATAAGGCAGAGATACTTTTATGAGCATTTCATGGGCAGTAGATCATGGTAAGAGTATTTTTTCCTAATTGTCTGGTGAGGGGGAGTCTCTGAGGTATATATTGCTTTAGGTGTCTTGGAATATGAAGACTTTTTCAAATGTCAAAAAGGCCTTGTGTTTCACGTCACAGTCAAAGTAAACTGCAGTGAGACTATTTAACACAACAGTGTAGTAAGCTTATCTGCATAAAGTTTTGAGAGTAATAACTAATGTTACAGTAGGATCCTTTCTGCAGCTCTGTGATTACGTGACATGCTACCCCCCAGACATCCAAGTATTGTGTATAGTATAACGTGATCACAGTAGTCAACTGAATTAATGTTTATTTGTTGAAATATATAGGTTGGTATAACAATATGCAACTGTTCTGTTGCAGATCAGAATCGCGCTCAAGGATTGGGCTGAAATCCAGAGATTTCAACAGGATCTGATAGACTCACAACATTATGATGCAGCATACATCTTTAGGACGTTGCGACTTGCCAGAGCGTTCCATTTCACAGCAATGCCTAAGCTAGTGGGTTATTACATAAATGACTTAACATTTTTAATAAAATAGCTTCAGCTTTAGCTGTGGCTAACAGTTCAACAGCACTCATGTATTTAGCTTTGAGGGGATGTTGAAATGTGGCATGTCTTGCTTTATGTAACTAGATATGTGACGTAAAGGGTAGAGGATGTCTGAATGTGGCGTGCTTCTCGCCTGAAAATATTTGTTGAGTATCTAATGCTCTTACCAAATTTCAGATGTCTTGCCATTTGTGGAAATGAGTCTGGGTGGTGGATTAAATTCTTGGCTGGGGAACAATTTTTGAAAAGTGCTGACACTGAGCACTTGACAGTGAAGCTGCATGCAGTGGTTGATGAGATGGTTTTACGCCTTTCAGTATCTCCTGATTGTTGGATATGCGGTAAGAATTCTCAAGAAGTGGTGCCATTTTGGGTTACAGAACATTGTGTCTTGCTTTAGCTAAACTACAGAACTAAGAAGAAGAGTGAGGAGAATGAATTTAAAGAAGAATTTAAGGACCCAAGTAACAGAGTAAACAGCCTCATCACTAATGATGTATTGGAGGTACAGTAACTTTTGCATTACAGATTAATCACTGGGCTTTGGTTTGTTTTTATTCTTCTGTTGTCCAAGAGCTATCACTTCTCTAATTAGCACAGTTTTGTCCTTTGTAAGTCTTCTGCTGGAATCTTTTTTGCTTGCATGTTTCCTGAAGAGAGCCTCTTCTTTTTTTATTGTAGGAACTGATGAATATTCATGACCATTATCAGAAAATGAAATGTGTCATTTCAGCTGACAAATCCCAGCCAGACAAGGCCCTGAGCTTGATAAAAGATGAATTTGTAGTTAATCTTAAAGATATAACCTTGGAACATCAGGAATGGCAGCGGAACAGAATGGTAGGTAATATCAGCTGTGTAAACATGTAAGAACTGTCTATCTCTGAACATATTTTGTAAATCTCAGACTTAAGCAGAAGGAACTGTAACACTGAAGGCATGGAATGAGTAAAACGCTAGGCAGACTTATGGTGTTGGTGCTGCCAATCTGATAACATAAATGATTGCTGAGAGGTAAGCCCTGGAAGACAATACTGATGGGCAGTATTGGGATGACCATATGAAACACCTCTGTAACACTTATTGCTGCATAAAGGAACGGCCACAGTGTAAGACTGATGAAGAAAATGGGCGTGTGTATGCGTACTTGTTGTGTTTTTCACAACTCTTGAATTTTGGGTGTCTTGTGTATGACAGACATTTAATTTTCTTTTCCCCAGAAATTATTCCTAAATGCTAAAGAAACTGATGAAACATCAAACAAAAAGGGAGAAGAGACTTTGCTGGAATCAGAGGTAAGAAAAATAAACTAGTTGGCTACGTTGTGCAGGCCAAATCTGTTAGTTTTTTGACTTCAGATCACAGGCTAAGCAGCGTATGTCAAGGCTTGGTAGTGTCATATTAAGTTCCAGGAATAGCTAGTGAGGCTGGTTGGTTTTTCTTGTTTGTTTGTTGGCTTTTGGTTTTACATAGTTTTCTGTTAAGCTGTGAGCATTCACTGTTGTGATCGCTCTTACATGCTTGTCATAGTCTTTCAGGTAAAGAGGGGAAAGAGCTGCATTTTCTTGACCAAACAGCTATATGGCTTCTCCTGGAGTTTCAGCTAAATGCAATATCCATTTTTTGTGCCACAAAATTAGCTCATATTTACCTGCATATTTCAACTTTGAATTTGAGTAAGATGTGAAGTTTCAATTTTTATTGTTTTTTCTTTTTCAAAATTGGCCTCTACCTTTTTAATGAAATCTGAACTTTTATTTTTCTTTAAGCAACAGTTTGGCAGCATTCTATTTATATTGAACTAATTCTAGAATTAGAGCTGTAGTGAGATATTGCTCAAGTGATTGTCTGATGTGAAATTTAATTTCAATGCTGCTGTAATAGAACATGAAAACTTTTTCTGACCTATTTCTTGGATTTTTTGCAGGGTTCTGAAAGAGCAAATGCATTGGCTAAAATCAAATACAGGTCTTACTCTGCAGTTGTTGAGGTAGGTATAAAATTTGATGACTGGCTGTATTTCTTTTTAAAGGGCAGCTTTAAGTACCAGTTAAATGCTGGGTCAGAAGGGAATGGGTTAAAATTGCACTCTGTAATTCAGCCTTTAAATGTTCTAGTCTTCCTAAGATGTTGGGGATACCCAAAGCTCTTACTGTTATTGTTAGATTTCTTGAAAAAGTGCAGGTTTGGTCTATGTTTGGATGATTTTCATTTACAAGGTGTCTTTTAATGTCTACACTCCATTTAAGTAGATGGAATTTTAAGTAGGTAGAATAAAAATAATTGCAAGTTTAATTTCTCAAATTCCTCGAAGCTGGGATACTGGAATCTCTGAAGATGCTTGTGGAAATGGGTCTTGGAGATTTGAAGTCAGTTGGAAGCTCTTAGAAACATTGTTTTAATAACTGCTACTTTAAAAATATTGTTTATTTGTCTGTTTTTATAGCAGGCCTATGAGAAATATTACAACTTTCCCTGTTTGTTAATATCTCTTATTGGAAAATGCATTATTAAATGAAACAGAGTTCTGGAGTGTAAAACAGTCCAGATTTGTAAATATGCAGTGATCATGTTTTCTAGGCACCTAAGCAAAGTATCTCAGTATGGAGGCTTTATGGTGCAGCAGTTTTGTAATTGTTCCTTTTGCTTGCGTGCTGCAGTGTGCAACATGGTGCAGGTTGACACCTACAGAGAATGGTTTGAAAACAAGTGAATGCTTAATTGCCTGAATTTTAAGTGATACACCCGTTAAATCATAGAAGGGTATTGCCTGAGTAACTGAAGAACAGTAACCAGTGGGAATCTTTCCTCTCCTTTCCCCCTGTCCTTTCCCCGTCCCCTTCTACCCCTTCTCCACCCTGACATGAAAGTTGATGCTCTGGTCACTGCTGATTTGTCAAGTACTGGCTGACTTACAGCCTGGCTGTAGAAGTTTAGCTTTGCTGTGTCATTCATGTCTATGTTTGGGTTTTAGGCTTCCAAATCCAGAAGACATCGCCAAGTAAAATTAGAATCTTCTGAATCAGGATCGAATTATGGGAAATCTCCAAGCCGAAGTAAAAAAAACAGTAGGCGACCACAGCCAGAGAGGAGAAGAGATTCTTTGGAAATCAAAGGTATTTCTCCATTGCATTTGTGAACCTGGAGAGACTGCCAAAGTTTATCCATTGCTTTGCTAGCTGAGGCTCCTGGGTTAAATTTTACTGCTGATTGGTGGAGGAAGAAGATGAAAGGAGTGTTAAGTGATACCATTGTCTTAATTGAACCTTTCTGTCCGATTTCCATGGTTTGGTCAGGTAGAAAGACTACATGAGTACGTGCAGTTTATTGTTAATCTGACATCTCCTACGTAGTCCTGCTATTTTTCCTCTGGAAAGGCGTGACCTTGGAAAGGCATGTCCTGTGTGACAGTGTCTTAATTTTTCCTATTGTATTGAATGAACTTTGTTTTGAGGACAGAGATTTCATTTCAGAGTTCCCAGGTCTGATTTCTGACTTGGTTAGCTGCTGCTAGAAAATAAAGTTACTGAGAAAATCCATCCCTCTTCAGAGGTGAGCATTAGGCAATATTGCCTTTGCTTCACCCTAAAACAGTAGTGAAATGAAGAGGCACAAGGGCATTTTGAATTCTCTGGACTGAGTTGGTGATTAATATTTAAGTTGGTGATTTAATGCTTTAAACTTGCAGTGTTAATTACTTGTTACTGAAGGCTTCCTTAGTGAGCCATATGAAGGTCCTGTGAAATGTAGGTGTTTCACTACAGTCTTTGACTCGTAAGTCGAGAGAGCAGAGAATGACCAATCTTTTCACTGCTGGACCTGAGATGTAGAAGAAAAAAAGAAAGCTGACTGGTTTTCCTAAAAATCTATCTACAGGTGAAATGCGAGGGGCAAAGGAAACTGTTACTCAGCATATTGGGATGCCTGTAATCACAGAAGAAGAGAACTCAGATGAAGAAGGTACAGTGATTGAAATTCTCAGAAAATGATGACTTGTTTTTTAATAGCTCTCTACTATGCTGTATTTTTCTGAAACTAAAGCTGATGTTTTGGGCCATGTGTTGCTACCATGCAAAAGCCATATTAGTTTTTGGCCCGTAAATTTTTGCATCAAAATGTAAGCTTTGATTTGAGACTTCGTTATGAGCACACACATGGTGACAGTCCCGTGAGTCCTGTTTTTCAGTGTAGATTTCATTACATTCTGGGACCAGCAGGTTCCATGGGTTACTAGACATAATACAATCTTTATTTGGAAGCAATGGTAAAGCAGGTTTCTCAAAGCTGATACTGGAGTCGCTCTGCAGAATTATCAAATGCATGTTGTACACATTGAGATGTTAGATGATCTTGACTGCTCTGCAGCTCAGAAGCTTCAGGGTCTGTTCTCAGTATTGCTTGAGGAGAACATAAGCACCATGGAAAAGACACGGTACAAAGAAAATCCCATCCTCTTTATCTTGAGGCACCTTATTTAGCCGTGCCCTGCGAAGAGCCCAGGGTACTGCTTTGCTGCAGCGTTTCAAGCAAGAATGGTGTTTCTGGGAGAGGAGCTGGCCAGCTCAAGGCGTGACTTCCACTGGCAACACACATGGTGACAAAGTCTTGTGAGTCCTGTTTTTCAGTGTAGACTTCATTACATTCTGGGAACAGCAGGTTCCATGGGTTACTAGACATAATACAATCTTTATTTGGAAGCAATGGTAAAGCAGGTTTCTCAAAGCTGATAGTGGAGTCGCTCTGCAGAATTATCAAATGCATGTTGTACACATTGAGATGTTAGATGATCTTGACTGCTCTGCAGCTCAGAAGCTTCAGGGTCTGTTCTCAGTATTGCTTGAGGAGAACATAAGCACCATGGAAAAGACACGGTACAAAGAAAATCCCATCCTCTTTATCTTGAGGCACCTTATTTAGCCGTGCCCTGCGAAGAGCCCAGGGTACTGCTTTGCTGCAGCGTTTCAAGCAAGAATGGTGTTTCTGGGAGAGGAGCTGGCCAGCTCAAGGCGTGACTTCCACTGGCAGTTCTAGCTAGGCTGAGACTGATGGGTCAGTGGCAGACAGACTTGATAGACCAGAGGTACTGGTTCTTAACCCGAAAGAGTAGGATTTAATTAGGTTGCTTAAAGGAGGAGCAAGGGGTTAATACAACTCCTGGAAAGCTTTAATGACATAGATGAGTGTGAGGAGTATATCTTTTGGAGTTAATTTACTATCCAAAATTGTATGTAACAGAAAGATATTTCACACAAGGGAGTGTAACAATGATTACAATACGTTTGTAGTGAGGTAGCACGCTTATATTTGCTTTTTTTAAAAAGCCAAATAGCATCTTGTCCTGAGATGAGATTACAATCCCTGATCACTTAGGTGTAGGCAATGCACATTCATTCAATTTTAGATGCTCAGATTGAATGTGCAGTGGTGCATTTAATATTGTACGTTACTTACTTTTTTCCTTCAAGTGTGGACAAAACATTTCTAAATCAAGAACATTCTCCATTTCTCAGAATTTGCCAGCAAAATTCTGAAGCATTAAAAATACCATGAACAATCTCTTCAGGTATTTTGTGCTTAATTTTGAGAGTATTCAGTTTGTCAAATTCACACTGAAATCTTAAAGGTGTTCATGAGGAGCAGAAAGCTCTCAAGATTGAATAAATTTTGAAGTACGGTATTTTGTTCATCAGTGGAATTTTAATTTATATTTATTTTATACTTTAATTTATATTTTGAATGGTAGTGTGCTGTAGAATCTAGAAAGATTTTTTTTCCCATATTTAAAACCATGGAGAGAGGGATTGGTTGGGGATCTCAAGAGCTCATCTAATTAATTTTCTTTGCTAGAATTAATTCTACTTTACTCATTTCCATGAGGGAAGATAGATTGAAAAGCTTGTCAGAAAAATCTCTTTATTGCCTTTCAGAAGTATCTCTCCCCAAGAAGAAAAGAAGATGTTAGAGGATCCGGTTGGGGAAGCCCTGCTGTTCATTTTAATGACAATGTAAATGTCAGATATAACACAGAGTGCTTGTTTTGGATGCCTTTGAACTCACCACAAGAAGTGTCTGGGACCAGAACTACAGGTGATGCTGGACTAGCGGTAGTGACTGGTGTACCTTAGATGTCTCGTGGTACAGCACCTGGTGAATGCCTGTGGGAGAAAAAGTTGCTCTTGCCTGTTTGAGATGGAAAGAGAAGAGACGGTTGCTTTTGTATTTAGCTTGTACAACATGAGTTTGAGCTGAGTCTGTTAAAAGAACAGCTCAAAAAATATTTGCCCAGTGAGATGTTTGTAATTTTTATCTCTTAACCTAAAATTAAGGTTACTGACCATTGATAATTAGTACAATAAGTTATTTTTCACAGTTTACTTACTCCATTTTATAGTGTGCAACTTCAGCAATGTTTCTCATGGTTTGATCCCACAGGTATTGGAAATAAACTTGGTGATAAGCCTTTTCTTGTACTCTGTCTCCAGCAGATCTGATAGCATTGTATATTCGAATGAAGAAATGTGAAGTGTGCTTATTAATTCTGCAGATGACCCTAAATGCACAATAATATTATTTCATATATATGACATGAGTTTATTTCAACATATTCAAGGGATATGTTTAATAATGTTCCCTGTGGTGGCACTTTTTCATAACGTGACTGTCTTGATTGCTTCTCTGTGTATCTTTGAACCATCCCAAGAGGTGAGTAGGAAGATTTTTCAGAATTTTCAATAATCACTGACATGAATCTTCCCTGTGCACACTTCTGAAAATGATTTGAACGTCAGCATTGGAAGGATGCAAATGCTTGACTAGGCATGAAGATGTGTGCATTTAACTAGCAGTTATTTTACTGTTGTAACTATGAAAATGTGTTCTTTAATTTGTTTATAAAATTATGTAGATGTAAAAGGGAAGTTATGCTTAAGGACAGACTTAGAACTGCTGACTGTATGCAGTGGTTTTAGTTCAAAACAGTAACCTTGAGCATTTAGAGACGGCTGTAGCAAGGTTTCATAGTGCTAGTGTAATCTTTTTTAGGAAAAAGAAAAAATCCCTTGCTGCAGTCTGATGGGCAATTACAGGCTTTTAAAAACAGGGGAGGGATTTCCTAAAACGCTTCATTGAACCAAGCAGCTGTTATTAAAAACAACAACAACAACAAAACAACCACCCACCACCTCAGTAAGAGTAAAGCTAGACTTCCAATAATACTGTTTTTAAGTATCTAGCTTCTCTTCTGGTTATAGCCTCAGTTTATACCGTGGGCTGCCAGGAAACTTCATCTTTGTAACTGCAGTGTAGCTTCCACCTGACCTGGTGGACGGGAGTGGGGCAACGTGGTGGTGTTACAGTTTTCGTAAATAAATTGGAGAAATATGGTTTATGGTTTACTTCTTTATGATGGATGTACAACTGCTTGAAGAACTACGGTCATACCGTAGTAGTCACAGTTACTAGTGGAGGACTGAACTAGTGCTGTGCAATGTTTACCAGTATAATGTGGGTGATGAAAAGCAGAATAAGCTTAAAACACTTTAACTGTTTAAACCGTTTAACTTAAAACACTTTAACTGTTTTTAAACTGATGTCACCTGTAAGTGGAAGACATTTTTCCAATATAATTTCTTTTTCTTATAATGGTAGAAATCAGTAAGTTCTACTTAAGTAAAGGTAAGTGCAAAAAGCTGCACTTGTGAAGACAGATTAAATGACATTAATTTTCAATCTGGAGGTTTTAGCAGTCCTCACACTGGAGGTGGATCAGCAATATGGGGGTGACGTGGAAAGTTCCAAATACCATGGATAGCAGTGGTGATCTGTGCTGTGTACAGTTTGGGGGGGTGTAGACATCACCTCTAGAACAATTTAAATAAATACGGAAAATAAAAAGGGCAACAAAAAGACTGCAGGAGAGTTTTGTTTGGAAAAGAAAGGGTTTGACAGTGAACAGTCTTCACAGCTCTGTGTGTGTGTGTTTATGGAAATGGTGATTAATTTTCTCTCTTCATTGAGGCAGAGCTGTACAATTTGCAGCAACGTGAATTTACAAGAGATTTTTGCAGTTAAGGAAACAGTTTGTCCTTACAACAAACAGCAGGGTCACTCTTACTGTGGGAGTTCAACACAGTGTCGGAAAAACATTAGTGGTGGTTGTCTGAGGTAGACCTAATCCTGCCTTGGAGACAGGAGATGGACTAGAGGATACCTTGAGGTTCCTTTTAGACCTATGCTTAGATGTTTTACATAACAGGACCCTACACAGTGGGTTTATATTCTCTCATCACATACATAGCAAGTTACTCAAATGACACAGATGTTTTATCCCTTTGTTTCTGGAGTGTTTCATTTTGAAGTTCATTTTGCTTCTGGAGTTGCCCATTCACATTTCACAAAGGTTTCCATGTGGTCCTGGCTTCCTTGCCCCCTCTTCATCTTTGTCCTGAAATCAGACTAAGCCTGGTAAGGGGATGCTTCCCTCCTCCACCTGTATGCAGCCCACCACTTGGAAATGGGACTGCAAGAACTTCATGAGCTACAAGAGCCATGTGCTAGAGCCCTGTCTTGCTTCAGGGCCTGGGTCAGTCTTCTCTGTGTTATGCTGGAGTTTGGCTGCAATAAAACATGAAAAGTAAACTTACGTTGGAACAGCTTGAGGTTTCTGTAACAGGCACTGAACTGCTTCATCTTTAGCCATAGAAGTGTAAACCTGGTTATGGAAAATAAAGATGGGCGTAAGGGCCAGGTATTGGCTATTACAGGTTATAGGACATAGACAGTAGCTTGTTTCTGTAGAAGAGAGTTTTGTATGTGCGATCAAAAGTGAGGTAGCATTTAAATCTTGGGGACAGGCTCAGTGCAACCTGCCATGTCTCCAGGTTTTGACACAGAGCTGAGTGTTGAGGAACTCCACGGAACTGGCTGCTGTATGGTATGCAGGCTACTGGCAGGTCCAGGGAGGACTCGTGCAAAGAGATGGCACAACATTTGGGAAGACAGCGAAGCTGCTCACCTCGCTCCCCAGGCAGGCTTTTTCTGCCAAAATTCACCGAGTCCCCCGTGCGTTGCGCACAGCCCCGGCCGCTGCGCCTGGGGCCGTGGGGCGACGCGGCTGCGGCCGGGAGTGCTGCCTTTCCCGCTTCCCCCTGGCCTGACCGGGCAGCGGTCTTGGGCCTCGGTGCGGCCCTGGGGGCGGCAGCGCCGCTCCCTTCCGCAGCC